GCAGGGATATTAACCAACTAGAAGATTGGTAATTACATTAGAATTTCATTGCATTTCCCCTTTTAGGAAACAGCTTTATTCTTGAGGGAACCCACCTAACAATTTTATGTTCAGTCATCTGCAGAGAATAGAGCCAATACGTTTTCCTTTCTGAACCTGGAGGAGAAGCTTTGTTTCACTGTAACTTCTCTGTGACATTTTGCACTCTCTTGATTTAATAATGTACCAAAGAGGATCTTTAACTCTTGGTTTACACTAGTGGAAATAAAGGTTAAATCTCTCACTAACCATCATGAACTAGCCTAGTAACTCATGAAAGGGTACGGAAAAAGAAACGGAAAAAGCAGGTGTACAGACTTAATTAAAACGTGCAAAGCCCGCACAACCTCAGGTAAAGATACTAGATCCTCACATCTCCCTAGTACCGGCTGCGAGGTCCGCAATCAGAGGAACTTCTACTGCGCCAAAAACACGATCCAGAGAGCCAGGCCTAGTAACACTGGAGCTTTTCTTCGGAACAGTGTCCCGACCGGAGCTTGCGCTGAATGCCGGGGCTCCTATTGGCCACGCGCCGTAGGGGAGGAGGAGACTGGCGGGGAAAGAGAAGGGAGGAGGGGAGAAGGGGGCAAGGCCTTTCCCTGCCCCCTCCCGGCCCCCTCCCCAGGCAGCCGCCAGCGCCTCGTGTGTGGTTACTATGCAAATTGCAGCGATTGCGGAAATAAACAAGGGCGTAGGGAGAGAAGAGAGGGACTGCGAATCCATTGCAACTTCTGCAAAGTCTCGTACAATCCAAAGCACACAAGGCAAAAGCAGAGAGAATCTGAGAACCAGCCAGCCCGGGTTGGATCGCTTTCAAAAGAGGAGAGAGAGAGACAGTGAGAGAGGCAGAGAGCGTGCATTGCAATTGCAAAAGCCTTCTGATTTGGAGTTAAAAAAAAAAAATCTCCAAGAAGCCTGCAATTGGCCAACAGCTTTTAAAAAAACCTCTTCCGGGTTTTCAACGGTTCCAAGTTTATTTAGATTTCTTTTAATGCAAAAAAAAAGGACACAACAAATGAAGCAATTCGCCTGAACATTTTAAAGTTTCTCACGTACTCTTTTTACATTGCAATGGTACGTGGTACATCTTAAACTTTCTATTTTGCGTTTATACGGATATGCGTTTTATAAACAACAATAATGGTAGAATGATTTTGTTTAATGGCTAAGAGTTTAAAATTTCTCTAGCTTGCATATGCATTTAAGCGGTTGCTGGGTAAATGTCTATTGTGATGGTTTTGTTTCAAAAGATGTAGATTTGTAAATGGCTTTATTTTTTTCTGCGTGCATCAGAGACCGGGTTTCTTTTCTTTTTTTTTCCCCCCAGATTTGAAAAAATTGCTGAGCTTGACAGATTTTTTTTCCTACTAGCGCTTGCTCGGTTCCAGAAAGGGGGGGGGGGGGGAATCCTGTACGTGCTCTGTTCTGTAAAAAGACGTCTGGCCTCAGCAGTCAACCTAACCCGAAAAGAAATGTCTGGTGGACCTTGAGAATAATTGACGATTCGATCCTCTAATCAATGGGACAATATGGGAGATTGACAAAAGCTTTATCCAATCATGAGGGAGCTTGGGTGTACAATGATTCGCAATAGCCAGGAGGGGCGGGGCAGAGAAGATCTGAAGTTCTCTGCGGCTTTGAAGGGGATGGTGTGGTTCAAGCTGTCAAGCTACAAGCTTCTTCCGGATTTAGCAGGCACAATAGGATAGAGTTTTCAAGTTTAAGAAGGGGGAAGAAAAGCTGATTGGGGGATTTTTGCATGAATCTTATGCCTTCTTCACTGTCTTTTTGGAAAAGTTAGAAAAATGCTGCTAGAGAAATATTTAACTTTGCATTAATTATTATTTTTTAAATTCAGAGAAGTTAACTGCTGTGGAAGGTGAGGTTCAACTTTTTAAAATGTGTGACTTAAAAACTTCCCTAAACTATGGGACTGTAGTAAGCTTTGGGAAGTAATATATTGCATACTCAGCATTACAGAACTTCTCGCTCTGATTAGCCTAGAAGCTTTGGCTTTTCGAGTACTTAGAAGGTATAGGCAAGACTCTCTCAAACTCTAAGCAACAGTTTTAAAAGAGAATGTTGCACAAGCTGACTGACAGCTGTTTTTTTTTTTTTAACTTTTAAAAGGAAGAGGGAGAAAAGGTGTTTTCTTGAGGGTTTTATTTGTTGTTGTTGTTTCTGTTTCAGTATATGGTCAGTAGCAAATGGGATGTTAAGACTGGCCCACTTCACATTTCTTATTGTTACGACAGCAGCCCCTGTGGAGGGTATGTGTGGAAGACTGCTAACTGGCTAGTTCTTAGATGGAATCTAGCCTCTTGGACAAGTCTTTGACACCAATCCAGTGGAAACCAACTGCAGTAGCTTATCTTGGAGACAGTAACTGGCAGTCTCTGACTAAAATATATCCAACTCTTCCTTCCCCCTGAGCAGGGTAGACACCCAATTCTGTTGGGAAGTGAGTGAAAAATAATATGGGCTCTTTCCCATCTTTGTATTAAATTCCCACTGAACAATTTTCCAAGGCTTTAGGCCTTCTAATCAACTCTGGTTTGGAAATTTGATGTAAGAATCCACTTGGATGCTCAGTTCAGCAACATGATTCAATTTAGGAATATAACCATTTAAGAGAAATTGGCATACAAATGACCAGCAGGTTACAAAAAACTAGAGAAGAAAAATGTTTGAAAATGCTAGTGATAAAGTTAGTCTCAGTAAGAACTACAGTTAATGACATTGTCACTTAATGAACCCCAGTTTTACTGTTTTGGGCATTAAAATCTAAATCATATTAATAAGATCTTCCTATAAAGTAACCTCTAAAATGAGAGGTATTCAAGATGTACATATATGCGAAACCTTATTGACGTAATTTATATATCTAAGAGGATTTCACTAAAACTGGCAAGGTAACATTTCTGCAAATGAAACACAGTAAATGCAAGGCTGGGCTCTGTGCCAGGAAGAATATGGATAGCCAAGAGCACCGCAGGAGCCTCCTTTGCGCAGAGACAATCCCATTTCAAGGCAGTCTCCCAACACTTGCAAAATAAATGATTGGAGTGGTTGTTTCCAATAATGGGTTTATCCTTCCTAACAGTGGATCATTTATATGACTGCAGTAAACTAGTTTTCCTACTTCACCTGTTTCCTGTACTGTTCTCTACTATCTTTTCCTTCTTTCTTTCCTCTGTCCCTGCTCTCTCTCTCTCTCTATCTCTCTCTCTCTCTCTCCCTTTCTCTCTCTCTCTCTCTCTCTCTCTCAAGTGCCTTAGTATCTTTGTGAACTCTGGACAAGGATTTACTTTTGCAACTTGGGAAGAGGGGAGAGAGTTGGAAATGTTTTTTTTTTACCCCCAGTCTGCCTTTTGAGAAACATCTGCTTCTTTGTGTGTGTATTTAAATTTATGCCTGTTGGAGAGAAAGTTACCAGAAGCCTTTTTGTAACTGTAACTCTTCTACTGTATTTTTCTCAGTCGTGTTTCCAAAGGCTGTAGTTGGAACTGTGCTTTGTAGTGTTTCCCCCGCCTCCTCTCACCCTCCCAGCGCCCCCCACCCCGCCCGGGCCTCGCATCTTTGGCGGGGGAGGGAGCGGGAGCTGGCGGAGATAGGAGAGAGAGCAGGAGCGGATGTGAAGGGCTTTGGTGCTGAACTTGGATCCAGCCCTTGCCTAGAGGGCGCAAACAATCGTCCCACATCCAAAAGTCTTACTAAGGGCGCCAAAAGTTACTTAAGATAATATTGCTAACCGCAGAAAGCTGGAAATCGCGGGCACAACCACGATTCAACAAAAGAAGTTTTTTAAGTAGAAATATCAGCATTAAATTACTTTTCCCATTTTTTTTTCAGCCGGGGAGACGTGCCAGTCCTTTTTTCTTTTTAAAACATTTTCTTTCTTTCTTTCTTTCTTTTTTTATTCAATTAAAAGAACAATCTTTGCTATTTTGGATTGAGGCAGATGTGAAGTCTATCTTTTAATACACAAAAAGAAAGATTTTAATCTGCACTGGAAGACAGCTTCCCAGAGTGCACTTGAACAATAACTTCTCATTGTGCCTCAGTTACGTGTTGGGACCGTCAGCCAGAAACTTCTATCGAGGAAACTTGGAGCGTGTTGAAGTTATAGATCCCAGCAGAGGTTTTCGTGCCCAGGGATTTTGTCTCTGTAACTCGGCTTAGCTTTTAGGATATTTTTCCCTTACTGAAATCCAAGAGGAACCAAGAAAAAGAAGTTGTTTAGTTTGAACAAATGGGACCCTCTCATTAAAGGTTTAAGTCATTCTTCCCCTTCACTTCTTAATAAATAATCTGAGCGATATCCAAGGGTATTTAGAATCTGGGAGTGTGAAAATGGTCTCTTGAACATTCAGGAATTGTTTTAGCAATAAAGTACTGGAGAACAAACATAAAATAACTTTAGACAGTTGCAGAATATTTCAGGGGCTTTTATTTTGCTTTCCCCAGTACCATATTTGTCTCCCCTTATTTGAAAAAGAAGGGTACGTTTCTGAATGAATGTGACCTTTTACACCTCACCTGACCCTCACCTGCAGAGTGGGTATTACTACAGGAATTCCCTCTTTTCAGAGGCTGTCTAAGCTATGTAACCTCTAGCAAGGTGCATATTCCCCTGTCTGTGTGCTAGTGTCTTTCAACATGATACACTCGTTTTTCCTTTTGGAATTTTGAGGATTTGCAGCGGGCTGCAAACTAGAATGAGGGAGATGAGGGGGAAGAGATGGGATGGGGGTTTGGATGGAGGTATAGTCCACAACCCCCGCCCCCCAGCAGGGAGGAGAGCCTAGAGAGAAAATATGAGGTTTAAAAAAAAAACTGGAAAAGCAGGCTTATTGGCAACTGGCCAAACCCTAAAAACCACCCCCCTTTTCTGCCAAAACAATACTTTAGCAAACCTAAAATAATTGCAGGAAGCTCTTTTCCATTTTAAGAACTATTACCTGGGGGAGGGAAAAAGAGGGGATTCTTAAAAGGCACCATTCCAGAGGTGTCCCAGGCCCAGGGGCGGCGGTGATAGACTGTGTCTAGTTGTGGGCACGCGGTGGTGGACCAGAATCTCTCCTTCCGAGGGGGCATCCCTTTAACATGTTTTTTCCTAAAAAGAAAAAGATGTCACAGCTAAACCACTGTTGTTTCTGAACGTGCTAGAACTTTTTCTATGGCGTCTGTGTTCAAACCCACTAGTTTTTACAGTCCTGGGAGGGAACGCGTTCATTTAATCTCCGCCTCCCTTTCTCCAGATAACCCCCACCCCCCAAATCCGGTGAATCTTGTGTGTGAAAATTTTCTCCACCACCCCCGCTCCTGAATGCCACCAGACTGAAGCTGCACAAAGTTTGCAGGATTTTGTGCATAATTTACCTCTGCCGACGATCTATTCTATTCCCACAGAAAGCTCCGCTGGGGAGATTACAATGCTTTTGAGTCGTACCGCATTTTAGAGGGAAAGAAAAAGTTACCTAGGAGGTCCGATTTTTTTAAAAATTTGCATACATGCAAATCGTCCCGCGGGCCTTGTCCCAGCTTCTCTCCTTGTCCACGCCGCGAACCTGGGGGTACCGGGCCACCTGGCAAAGTTGCCCAAGTCCTCCCCCGAGGTCCGCGAAGGTCTGCGGCGGGAGTTGGGGGATGGGGATGAGGAAAAGTAGTTTTGTTTGCTTAAGCACATCCTGTGGCAGCCTATAGCTGCCCGGGAGGACAGACTGTAACTGCTTCTCACTGCGTTACCCAGTAATGCGCTGAGCGGGGACGGAGGGGGGGCGCGGGGGGGCCGTGGGACGCGAGAGCCAGCGAGCCAAGGAGCGGGAGAGGGAGCGAGCCGGCGAGCGCGAGCGGCCGTGGAGCCTCGGACCGGGCTGGCCGCGCGGCGCCGCAGCCGCCCCCTCCCCCACGCACCCCCCCGCCCCCGGCGGCGGCGCGAGCGGGCGGCGGCAGTGCGGTGCGGTGCAGAGCGGAGGCTGAGGCGGCGCGCGGGCAGCTCGCGGCACCCGGCCGGGCGGGCGCGGGGGCGGGAAAGGGTGCGCTATGCCTTTAACGCCCGCGTACAGTAGGCATGTATAGTGGAGTGTAGGGAAACTCTAGGCGGGGTTAAAGTTCAGCCCATGGAGCGGCAATAGCGCTGGCTGGCTGCAGTTGAGCCGACTTGGAAATGTGAACGCAAGAAGCAGGCTTGATTTTTTTTTCTCCCCCCTTTTCTCTCTTTCCTCCTTTCTCCCTTTTTCTCCCTTCTCACCCGCACTCACGCACACCTCCAAACCGCACACCCAGACGCACACGCACACCCCAGCGCCCGGCAGTTATGTATTCTCCGCTCTGTCTCACCCAGGTAAGCAGCTGCTTGGATGCGGAGGGGCTGGGGGGCTGGGCCGGCGGGGGCCGAGCAGGGGCCGGGCCGGGGGTGCGGGGACCGTCGCGCCGGCCGGGCCCGGGCATGTGTCTTGGTGTGTGCCCGTGTCTGCGTGTGTGTGTGCGCGTGTGCTTGTGTTGGGGGGGGCGGAATACAGCTTTAAGAAAGTAACTTTGTTTCCATGCGGGTGCATTCCTCTTGCACGCCATTTGTGTGGGCACATGGCTAATGGCGCCCTCTTATTAATGCGTTAATTAATATCGGGGCGATGGACTGCGGAACGGCGCTGTTTTCGGACGCCCCGCACGTGTTTCAGCGGGTTGCAGCCCATGACACGCTGAAATCTAGACTCAGCGTTTCTGCAGCCCGGAGGCCCGGTCTCCTAGTTCCGCGGCGCCCACCGCACGCCCCGCACGCTCCGGGCAACTAGAACCTCGGGTGCGGGAGAACTCGGGTCCCCGCGCCCACGGCCGGCTTCCAGAGCCCGCGCCGCAGTAGCCGCCCCAAACTCTTACTTTTGTTTATTGTTTGTCAGCCTTTGCGGTCCGGCCGCGGGAGAGACGCGGGCCGGCGTCCCTGTCCCCGGCCCCGGCCCGGACAGCGCCCCTCGGACGCGTGCGGGCGGCAGCGAGCCGGCCCCTGGGCTCCACGGAGCAGGGCTGCGTGGACGCGCGTCCCCAGCGCCAGCCGGGTGGAGCCAGCTCCTCGTCGCTCGGGTCCGTTCGCTTCCCCGAGTGAAAGTTTCGGTGCTGGGACGAGCCCACGCTGCGCAGAGCCGTGGAGGCCGCGGGCCGGGGAGCGCCGGGCGGAGTTGGGCTCCCGGCCGCGAGCCCAAGCAGCGGCCCGGGCCGGACGCGGCTCCCCCCGCCGCCGCCTCCTCCTTCTGCCAATGCCACTGCCACTGCCACTGCCACTGCCACTGCCGCCGCCGCAGGACTCGGGACGCTCCGCGCGCAGGACAGGGGCAACTTTTCCCTCCGACTCAACTCGGAGCGTGGGTCTCTGTCGCCCCAGCGCCCCTCCTTTCCCATGCCCTCCCTTTCCATCCCTTTCTTGTCTGCACCACCCCTAGGCAAAATATTGCTACTTCATGGCTCCCAATCTGGTCCCTTTTGAATATATTATTTATTTTCTCTTCACTAAAAGACATGAAGTCAAAGTGATTTTGCGCTAAAAAAAAAAAAAGTCTGAGCCTTCACTGTTTTGGTACGTTGCGATCTGACCATTAATCATCCACATGAAGTTGTATGCTTCATCTAAAATGTTTATTCACCACTCTTAAAAAAATAAAAAAAAATAAAAAACCTGCTACCACAAATTGCCTTCATTTAGCAGGAGATAACGGTTTAACCGGAATACTTTCTGGAAGGCTAAAAAGTATCAATAGTTTTTTTTCTTCTTCTCTCGCTCCTTTCTAGATTCTGGATTTATTTCCCACATGACATCCCTTCGAATTGCAGTATCTAACAGTAAAAATGCAGGTTATTTGATCTTCGAAGACTGTTAAATGCACCTTTATGTCGAAATGGTCTGTCTGGGATTTAGGCCTAGCATTAATAATGGATAGCAGTTGCTTTTAGTTATTGTAAGAGCTTTTTTATTTTTTATTTTTCTCTAACAAACTTTCGAAGTTCCTATTTTAGTAACTTGTGGAAGTATGGAATGAAACTTTTCCAACCACTCTGGCAAGGTTCACAATTGCATATGGATAAGATGCAAAGTGCAAAACCATTTGAATGAGTTAGAACTACAGTGAAAATGCTGAGATTCAAAGACTGAAGTTCTAACTAGCAAAAGTTTGCAACACATAGCATTTGTAGGTAATACCAGTGTGCTGCAGTAGTAGGATACACTAGCGTCTTCTCAAATGAACTCCCGAAAAGATACATTCATATTTTGGGATGGTGCACATAGGTGGATACCTGTGTATCTGTGCAGGCCCCGGGGATAGTTAGGCATTTATAAAAAGTTGGATTCTCTGGTTGGTGAGTTATTATCACATTAAGAAAGTTTTTTAAAAAATCACATTTGGCAGTGTGATCGATACATTCACTAGGCCTTCTGGAAACACCAGTAAGAGAAATGCTTACTTAGTGTAACAGTTTGTGAAGAAAATGTACACTAACTAGCAAATGAGGGCCATATATTTTATGATTTATTCTTTTAAAAATTGACTTACGATTTGCTTAACTTGCTGGAATATTTATAGAGCTTCTAGGCCAGTTTTTAAAAAGGAAAACTTAGGTAGCTTATTCGTCATTAAAGTCCAGTAAGCATCATGATAAAAATACTCTAAATGAAAGAATAAACTTCAAATACATGTGTGCAGTTTTTTTAAAGTTTGCCAGAAAAAAATGTAGTACATCTTATTTTAATATCTAGGCCTATCATAACCAAATCATGTACCTGGCCACGGAATGATAACAGTAGAAATGTATATGTCAACCTTTGAAAGGAGTCCCAGAAATACCAGCCTTCAGTGGTTCTTAAACTTGCTTTACTTACAAACTGATCAATATTTAAGGTGCTGCTTCAAAGTCATACTGCTTTTGAAACAGGTTTTTAGGTTTGTTTTTATTGGTGGCCTGTAACTTTCTCACCAAGTACATATTTAAAATATTCTTTGTTTTCTTTTGAATATTTTGAATTCATACATACCTTGTGGCTGTGTGTGCAACAACATGATTTGTAAAGGCATACTGGTTTTTTTTTTAACTGATGTATGCTACACCTGGACATTTCTTACAAGTTAATGATAATCTTTAGTTCTGACATTATGGAATATTTCTAATTATGAGTCGAGAAAGATGACTAGCACTTAAATTGTGCATGTGAGCAAAGTTATACAAAATACTGTGCACTTTTATTGGCACATTCTTGAAATCTTTGGGATATATAAGACGTAAATACTTTCGATGCAAAATTGGGGACTTAGATTATTCTTAATGATTAGTCGCCATAGTTGGCCTCATTTCAGTATTTTTATGATGAGATATATGGGCATTTGGTTGGCAGGAAAACAAAATCCTCTTGAACATGAATGAGTACAGTTCGCAGTTAATCTGAGAAACGTGTTGGGAGTATCTTTGAGCATTTAAATGCTACATTAGAATATTTATTTTAAATGTTTATTAATCAAGTTTTTAATAAGATAAATTTTTAAGATAAATATGAATTGCTTGGAGCTGTGTTATTCTTTGCATTATAATATGGGGTCAAGACTTTAAAAATAAATTCTCCTTTTGGTGGAAGCTCACTTTGTTGTTAAGGTAGACTCCAGTAGCTCTTTACAGAATACCACTGCAGCCTCGGTCTCTAGCACGTCCTGTGTATGTAATAAAATCAGTCAATGTGAGGGACTGTTTCAGACCCCAAATTTTGGAGCATTCCAAGGATGAGCTCAATACTTAGCAATGTTTAATGCTTTGCGGTGTGGCGTGCACCTTATTAGATAAACTGTGACTTGAACATTGCCCCCCTCAACCCCATTTGTCCCTTCTATAGTATGGCGATAACAAAGATGCTCAAACATCAGAAATTTTAAAATGCTAATTTTTGGTCAGGAATAATGTATTTATTTATTTTTCTCTGTTCCCTCTTAAAGAATGCTCACATGTTATAAGAGCTGACTTCTTCTTGGATTCTTTTATTGAGAAAGAGCAGTTTGCAAGCTCAACTTGAAATACAGAGCCTGAAATTTGTTCAGAGAAGAAAAAAATAAATGTCACTTATTGAAATGATTTATTATATATTATATTAGCATATACTTAAAAAACAATAATATGTAATGTTTAGCTGATTGATTATAATTTATAATTTTTAACAGACTCTATTGTTAAAATAGTTTACCGATTTTAACCACTCAGTTTACATTTGAACATTGAAAAATTGAATAACTGCTTTAATAGTAATAATGTTTTGGACACTGCTGTTATTTTTACTTCCAAAGTATATGTTTAAATGGATAATATGAACTGAAAAAGAATGAATTTTATAATATTTGTCCGTCGTGCATTCTTTTAAAAAGTCATTAAGTATCTCTTTGATTTTTTTTAATCTTCATTTATTTGAAAGTAAATAATTTATCTTTTTGGGGGGGTTGCGCGTCAGAGAGAAGTTATGTAAGATTAGTCTGGGTTGGTTAATCAAAAGTTAGATGTACTCAGAAAGCTTTGTGGAGGTTACTGTTTAATTTTTCTTCAATTTAATTTTTATATTTACTAAGAAAAGGTCAAGTAAAAGATTCAAACATCTTCAATAAAACAGTAAGAAAGTGTAAATATTTTAAATTCAATTTTATTTTCAAATGACTTGAATTTTAAAAGGCATCTATGAGGGTTTTCCTGGAGTCTCGTAAATGTTTAATATGCCAGGTTTTCTTTTTCTTTTTTGCCCTGCAAGAAAGAGCCTGAAATATTATTTTCAAAAGTTAATTATTCCCTGTTTTAGGGATGATCATTACCGAAGGCATTTCACAATCATGTCGGTAAATTAAATGTATTTAGTTGCCACACTGTTGTCTCAATGTTGCATTGTGTTTACTATCTGGCATGTTCACTTTTCTTTGTTTTTTTCTTGTCCCCTCCTTTTTTTTTTGTTTTATTCCCACAGTATCAGCAATTATATCTTAGACATAGATCTTTCATTTTAGTCTGATAAATATCAGATTCATGCCTTTTTTTTTCTATATGGTCCCTGACATATTTTCCAAAGTTTTTGACTAAAAATATTTATGTGCAACTATAATACTTAAAAAGGAATTAAGATGTTACCAAAATGGCTAAGAAACAGATTACAGTCTATATGCAGTGTTTTTAGAGGGAAAGTCTTTATTTTAAATGATTGCAGAGAGGATTTTTGCTCCTAGACTTCCATCAGCATTGACTGGCATCTGAATGTTTAGGATTTGCCAATCTGGCGGCCGAACCCTGGCTGTACTACAAGTAGTGAGGTCAAGGCTGGAGCAAAATTAGATGTGACTTCCTTGAAATAGGGTTAAGATTATATATTGTTATAAGCATTTTTGGTAAACTTGACTTACTATCTAAAGGATTTGCAACTGCAGCCTGACTGTAGAACGTGGGACACCTTGGTAAATATACCAACACATTATTTAATTTTTAGCAATTTTCTCCTTTAGGTTGTGAGAAATGATGCTGGTAGTTTTCTTTTTTCCTCCTTGGACTTCCCATAGGGATTCTATATACAACTTTGATAATGTATACGTCTTGCATCAAATTTCAAGTGAAATAAAGATTTTTTTTAAAGGCGATCAGCTGAAAAAAAAGTTGTTTCTTTTGTTTTCAGTGTGGTCATATTTTTGTTTTTATTTATCTCTCTAGGATGAATTTCATCCTTTCATTGAAGCACTTCTGCCCCACGTCCGAGCCTTCGCCTACACATGGTTCAACCTGCAGGCCCGAAAACGAAAATACTTCAAAAAACATGAAAAGCGTATGTCAAAAGAAGAAGAGAGAGCCGTGAAGGATGAGTTGCTAAGTGAAAAACCAGAGGTCAAGCAAAAGTGGGCATCTCGACTTCTGGCCAAGTTACGGAAAGATATCCGACCTGAGTACCGAGAGGATTTTGTGCTCACAGTTACAGGGAAAAAGCCTCCGTGTTGTGTTCTTTCCAACCCAGACCAGAAAGGCAAGATGCGAAGAATTGACTGCCTCCGCCAGGCAGATAAAGTCTGGAGGTTGGACCTGGTTATGGTGATTTTATTTAAAGGTATTCCGCTCGAAAGTACTGATGGCGAGCGCCTGGTAAAGTCCCCACAGTGCTCTAATCCAGGGCTCTGTGTCCAGCCCCATCACATAGGGGTTTCTGTTAAGGAACTCGATTTATATTTGGCATACTTTGTGCATGCAGCAGGTAAGTGTGATGGGGAGAAGTTGTTCCACTTGCTTGTGTGTTTCTTTCCTGACGATCCGTGTATGTGCCGGGCCATTTCTGAATGCCCTAAGTTTGCAGGCTATGTCCGTAGAGACGATGCGGTTTCAAAGGTGGGCCTAAGTCAGAACAGCCTCTGTGTCTGAGGCGCCACCTGCGTTCAGTGGAAAAGCATAGCTTTGAGAGAAGTCACACTAAGTTGAGTTCTTTGGGCAACTCGTGTTATCAGAGGTGTTGGGTAGTCAGTTATGCGATATGTTTAGATCACATTTTTTGATGATGGGTGAGAGAAGCCTCATAAAAACCCTTGTAATAAAGGGTGTATATTTTAACTGGCAGGTGATCTAGTTAAAAAGCGTCTAATTTGGTAGCGAAGCAGTATTTTTGGTTGCTTTTCTTCTGGCAGTGTGTTTAACCTACTGGGACCTCCTGAACCCCTTGTTAATTAAGAATGGGTTGGAGGTAGGATTACTATCAAATTGCTGATCATTTATGAGGGAAAAAGAATTACATTAATATACAACCTTAGTAGCTTTATATGTAAGAACTTTTAGTGTTGTCTAAGATAGCTAAGGGAAAAAGCAAACCAACTCTTTAAGTAATTGATAGAGAGGTTAACCTGAAAAGTAACCAACCTATATAGTGCATAAGTACATTGCGAAATCCATATTGGTAATTGGTTTAGTGAGTTGCTTTGATTTGTAATAAAATTATTTATTGTTTCAGGGCTGTTTTCAAGGCATGTTTTACCTGTGCATATTACAGCATTTAGAGTGGCATTCAGGATAAAAGTCCTGCGGACCAGATAAAATAATGCATTTTTTACTTTGTTCCTTTCGTCTTGTTTCGGACAAAAGGCTCATTGTGTTATACGAAAGCTCAGGTCTTGTGTAACTTGTTGACTTTTTATACGTACATATCGGTTTTGATAGATCACCTTAACGGCAGTTACTTGAGCCAGACGGAAGGAAAGGGGTTGTGGAGTCCTACCGGTAGATCGCTTTGGGGTTCATGGAATTGTGTATTTTCTCACAAAGGACAGAGACGATGTTACCTGTATAATCAATGCTGCACTGTCTTGCAAAACATTTTTAACTATAAAAGTGCAAGCTATTTTTTTAAAGAAATCAGCTGAAATCCTATTTGCTACTATTTTCTCAATATATGTTTTAGAAAGAGAACTTTTGTTATCCATCTGTCCTTACATAAGAAACTGGAGAAATTAACTTTGCAGGCATGTCACATCATCATTTGCATTCTGTTGGCAGGGGATAGATGAGTATTTTAGAAGATGTGATATGTAAGTGTTTCAAATATTTGGGTTTCTGAAAATGTATACTTAATTATAAGAAGTGCCTGTTGCTTTAGCAGTTTTCGGTGGTGAAAATGAAAAAGCAGCAACTCCCAAGTGACCTCTACCCAGGAGAAGTAGTCCTTTCTTAAGCCCTTTTCCATCGTGTTGTTGATATTGTGTTTTCTGTGCTTAAAAAGGCGAGTTAAATTTTTTTTATTTATTTGTGTAAGTGGAGATTCTGATAAGGAAAGGCAACGTGCAAAAGCAGTATAGGTGTTCTGAGTGCTTTCAGGGAGCACACCTTAAAATGTGTTTAATCTTTTCAGTATTTAGAAAGTAAGTAACTTACAAAGTATAATAAATGCTCTGACTGCCCATTGAGAGTCCAACAGGTGGTAGGCATTGGGGTGTTTACTTCCTTGCAAAGTACTATCAAAACGAAATAGCTGTTGTGCTTTTATCAGTGTGAGCAGCATCTATTCTAAGTTTCAGCAGCGAGCATTTCCCGTGGATTCAAGAGCTGCAACCTTTCTAGCTGTTGCCATTGCACGCACATTCTTTCTCTCGTTGTTGACACTGTTATTGTGCTGTTGCTCCAAGTCCTGGAGCTAACAGTTGCTGGTTGTTCCCACACCTGAAGGGTGATGTTCGTAAAATGTGTAGAGGATTGCCTAGGGGAGTTAGCCTCCTTATTGCTTATGAAAGATTTATTGACAGCAACGTGGATCAGACTACCTTTTGGTTTGGTTTTCCTGATATATCCCAGAATCCCTTGTTAGGCCTGAATGCCAGCCAAGTGCCAGGCCATTGGCTTTTACTGGAGTGCAGTAATGGCTGCTTCTCTGTGTGCGCAACAGGGTGATTGCAAAAGAAAATATTAGGGGCCTTTTGTCTGAAAATACTTCAAATTCGATTTAAGGGATCTAGAGACCTGTTATTTGTGGAAGGGAAGCTGCCAATACAAGTACGAGGTAGACTGGTCAACTTACATACAACTGATTTGACAAGCATCTGTTATAACACTGAAGATTTGTAAACACTAAACAATGTTTTTACCTCCTTAAAAGTTTTGAGAACTTGCCAGTATTGGCAGGAGGCAGAGACTCTGAAACGTGCTTCAAGAAACATGCCAGAACCATTGTGTCCTTTTCACCTACAGTGTGCTTCCCCCGCTCTTTCTTTTAAAATGTCAGTTATTGTTTTCTACCCCAAAGTCATCTTTTTTTCCCTAGATGGCCACAGAAATGACATCTTTTTTTTCTTCTAAAAATGTATACAATTATTGCTTTATTCCTTGTTCTCTTGTTGGGTGGGAAGTTGAAATCTTAGAACACACATGTAAGTGCTGGAAGCTAATGAAGAATCATTTTTTAAAAGGCAGCGGTGATTTATTCTAAGACCTATCGAGACACTAAAATACAATACATAAGTTACATTCCATTTTTTTCTTTAAATCCAGTGGCAGTCAAACTGTGAATTTTGTGGCTGATAAACTGTAACAAGTATAACGAAATCAGAGTGATTCCAAAAGCCTGAGAATTTCATCTTGTAGAAAATATAAAAGAGTAAAGTCATTTTGTGCCCTTAGTTTGGTCTTTGTTTGAACTGTCCTTCTACAATATGACAACTTGGAGATATTATGGTATTGAGGCAAATGGTTTTCTTTGTGGGCGTGTAACAGTAAAGCTAATTTATGACCAGTCTTTACCAGATGATCTGTATCAGAATCTACAATATACCCGGCACGTGGCAAGGTCACAATTTAAGTTGTTAAGGTCATAACCTTAGCCACCAGGCATTTGACCTTTTAGATAAAGTTAACCTTTGTTCATTAGTAGGCACTCAACCGAGAACTTTCTGGAGAGTTTTTTTTTTTTAAACTGCTCTGTATAACTTCTGGTAATGTAATCAGATTTTTGGAAGATTTTTAATTGAGTTTGTTAAATTTTGTGAGAGGTTAGATTTTTACAGAACTAATCTCTTGGATAGAGGTAGGTTGCTTTATCTACGCTGTAGAATGACATTGTCACAATTTAGTTTTGGTAGTTTTTACCTGCCGTGGGGTAGAACCAAAGCTCTGAGGCAGCTGTGTAGAGATGTTTAAAAACCAAAATTAAGAGAATTATGTTTAATTCAATTTAGGCCTGCGCTAGTTCTCAAGGGCCTTGGGCCCAAATGCTGAATCACATGAGCACCTTTACTTTTTGCAGATGGCGAAGTTTCTAAGATGGAAAGTATTTTTAGTAGTCTTTAAATTCACTTTGAAAGACCAATAAATGACCAAAATTTGTCAGGTAATTGCTGTGATTGTTAATTAACCAGTGAGAGAGAAAATTGAATTTGTCCTAATGGTAGTAGCACAAGCACTTACGTTACGAAGTGAACATTTCTTCATGGCGATGTTTTAGTACAACAGTTACTGATTGCTTTCATGCTACCCCTGTTACTACCTTTACTTAGCTTTGCTTGGACTAGAAATAGCAGAGGTCCCGTCACTCACTGAAAGAGCTGTTGCAGTGTCTCGGAATTCTGGTACCTGTCCTGTAAACCTGTACAGCAGTGTTACTGATTACCACATCACCTGTGCCATGTTGTTCACTTAATTATGCTGGCCTGAATGCTCATTTGACATTATTTACATTACTGTGAGTTTTGCTTTGTTATGCCACATATTATTCCATTTCAACAAAGAGAGGGAGAGAGACTCCCATTTAGGTGCATTTTAGTTTTATTTTGGCTTCGTGATTGCCATTCCTTCATAGAGTCATAGAGAAAGCCGTGATATGCAGATAGACCAGATGGTCATGTTGACAGGTTGAGAATTCACTTCCTACTGCTTCAGAGCAGGTGTAAGATTAGGAGTATCTGTGTATGAGCATGTGTGTGCTTCATGTGCATGTGTGTGCACATTCAGGCTGCAACAGAGTGTTGTTTAGAGCACTGGGAATGATTTCTTTTTTTAAAAAATAAAGTTGGTACTTTAAATAGAGAGTAACTATATATATAAAGTTATAAATGCATATAAAATGATTATTGTAAAAAATTTTAAATTACTAATGTAAAGACTTACAGTTTATAATTTTATGCCAAATTAATTACAATAATTTCTTAATTTTGGGGTAACTTAACCTTAGCTTATGGCACTATTGCATGTCTAAAATATATTCCTTATGTTCTGTTAGCAAGTGTATGTGTGTCTGTGTTTATGCTCAAGTCTAGGGCTAGAGATTATGTAATTAAACTTTGTCAGTATCTTAATAAAAACTCCCTCATAGGAAAGTTGTGCGGTTAGTTTCTGTGATTTATAATAATAAACTATGTCTGGAAAAAGGAGTAAGACTAATATACAGTGATATTTGAAATTAATAGAGTAAATACCACCCTATCTCAAATTCCAACTCTAATCCTAAACTTATGATAAATTTTTGTGGATGACTGATCTACTGTAAACCATTAGTACATGCTCACAATTTCAGAAAAATTTATTTATCTTTTTGTCTCTCACATCTTCAAAGGAGATAACACTAACAATCAACCAACTTGAGATAAACATGGCTTTTATTTCCCGACCGTGAGTGTTTTCTGCGTAACTTGACAATAGTAACAATATCCTTTATCTAGAATGTAGTAACAATATCCTCTCTCTAGAATGTAGTGAAGAAAAAGGAAATTCAAAGGCAGAGAATGT